AGTTACTTATACGTATACCCAGATTACTATCTCTTTTTTGAAGAGCGTAACCGCATTCAGGAGAGTAAACAAACTGATGTACATGTCTAGAAGATCCCGTGATTTAGATCACCTTCAAACTGTTTGTTGAAAAGATTCGTCATGAAGATGATTCGTAATCTGGCTGCACACGTGATTTTTTCACTGGTATTATCGATTCATCTTGAATCACCTTCAAAAGACAGGCATACCAGTAAAGGTTCGAACAGTACCTCAAGTATTGCGGTATTAGGAGATCCTGGTATTTGTCTCCTTGGGATTCTTCCAAGATGTTTGCTTACACCGATCATATTTGTCAGAAATTCACACTTATCAGCCAACGTATTTTGAAGAAACGTCCTCCTGGATCTACTTTATAGGCAATTTGTCAGAATGTGCTTAGTAGTAGTTTGGGAATTTGCATTCCCTAAACTAAATTAGACGTCAGAGAACCTTTTGCTTCCGAATTCCATTAGCATATGACACAACTGGATTGGTCTGGACCTTATCGAAAATCCCTTCCGTAAGTTAGCATCCATGTAAGTGGATGATACTTCTGCGCATGTACACTGTCTTACTCACTTGACCATTTTCGCAAACCAGTACAGACGGTGAGGAGCTGGAAACTGATAGCAGCTTTTATCGAAAATTCCGTAAGTTAGCATCCATGTAAGTGGATGATACTTCTGCGCATGTACACTGTCTTACTCACTTGACCATTTTCGCAAACAAACCCAGACGGTGAGGAGCTGGAAACTGATAGCAGCTTTGCTGATAGCAGATGACAGTTGATTTCAAAACTTCCTCTCTGTCATCCCTTCACATTAACGCTCTACCTGCTGGCTTGCAAGCAAGTGAACACTCCCTCAGGTTATGAAGTAGTTTTCGTTACCGAGGATGGACTAACATCACCTTATTCAACAGCCACATCGACATCAAGATATTCGAGTAACGTATCATCAATAAACGACTTGTCAGCTTTTACCCACGAGAGAGGTTGTTTCATCGATAACAGTGAAGTGAACTTGTTCCAACGAACTATTAGTGAAGTAAACATTTGGAGGACAGGTGCCGCAGCAATCATCTAGTGGTGAGTGCACTAACAACTTACCTTTATCCTAACTGCCGTTGTAAAGCTTATCAGTGCTAACGGCTCATCGCAGGTCATCGTGTCCAGTTTTGTTGTTGTGGTGATTTCCTGTTGTGACAGTCATAAGATACCTAGCAAATTAATAAGACCTCATTTGAACACGTACAGGTTAAATCTTGCAAGTTGTGTCGCTATACCGCCGGAGCTTTTCTGTGTTCAGTTGCCACCCTGAGCTATACCTCCCATCAAACGGTCTAGATGCTTACACTGGATAAAATATCGTCTCAAATGAAGACCAATGAAGTCCAGTAACTGAAGTGTTGACCAAGATGACGATGGTTTCTTACCTCTCAAGTTGTTAGGCTGGAGAGACATGAATGCGCGAATGTTCCCTCGAAACTATACTCACTCTTGTGCCTGCAGTGTCCGTAGTCATGCCTTGTTCAGTCTCTGAATCAATTTTTGGCAGACGCATGGCTTTTCAAAGGAATGCCAAACACATTCTGCATGCATGTTCACGCTGCATTCTGTTCTCTGAGTTTTTTTT